ACACACACACACACACACACAGACACAGACACACACAGACACACACACACACACACACACACACACAGACACACACAGACACGGTCTGCAGGGTCACAGAGTGCAGACCGGGCCACACCAGAGCTATGTGTGTGTTGGCTGGCCTCGGTCCACTGGGACAGCTGAGAGACGAAGCGGGCGAGAATGCCACATTAGTCTCTGTCCATCTGTGCACGCACACACACACACACACACACACACACACAAACACAAACACAAACACACACTCACAAACACATGTCCCTTCATGCACAAAAACAGACTGCAGCCCACTGTTTATTAGTCATATGCTGACAGTGACACACTCACAGCTGAGCTCACACACACACACACACACACACACACACACACACACACACACACACACACACACACACGCGCGCGTATGCACATGCCTGCACAGGCTGAGCAGATGCAGATCGTTGGGAGAGGTGGGGTAGAGCTCCAAGAATCCAGCCCTGAACCATCAATTTGTGCATTTTGCATGTTGTCATCTGAGACCTGTGACGCGTTCCTGCAGGGTGAAACTCCCACTTCGTCTGTTGTAACACATAATATATTGGTTCTCTTAGTGCATTTAGGTTTTTTTGTCCTCCTGCCTTGTTTACATGACATGCTCGGGCCACAGCTGGGACAAGAATAGAGGATGACTCATCTTCAGTCTGTAAAGTTTAATCCAACTGTGTGTCTGTTTCTGAAAGTGTGTGTGTTTGCGTGTGTTTTTTACCATCAGTCTCTTATAGCCTTAAGGTAGCAGGTCTGCATGGCAACACACCGGGAAGAAGCTCCAACGTCACATCAACGCTATCATCTCGCAATCTCTGTAAACCAGTCAGAGCTCAGCAGGAGATATTTTCCACCGTCTGGACAGATAAATCAAGAAGAAGATTGATGGAAGTTAGGAAATGGTCAGCTCATGTTATGTTTTCTTATTTGATTTCAACATAAACAAAATACCTACATTCTTAATATTTTGGGTAAAGCATCACGAGTCACTGGATGAAAGCAAAACTACAGCTTCCTGCACTTTTTTTAGGTGGAGAATTGAGGATTTTGTAAAACATTTAGTGCCATCATCTTGTAGAAACCATCGTATTAAATATTTTTTGTATAATGGGAARTTTGGCACTTGATGGAACTGTCTGTGATGTGTGAATCAATCAATATCCTGATMCCTGAATTYGTTAAAGAAAATAAGTCTGAGAAARGAAGGTTTGCTGAAGGAGTAACTGTTGAGATATTTTAGCCTCCATTATATCTGAGGGAAAACATTCACCTCACTTTATGAAATTGTTTAGAAATATGTAAATGTTCATACAAGCATATGTTCTTAACCGATGGAAATATTAAAATAAGAGCATGATGCAATAAAAGATCAAATTATGGCGCACCCACTTCCGTGTAGAACAGTTAGCAAAGTCTTAATAATGCAGCTTTATCTGTGGGAACTGTGCAGTTTTCACATAAAACGRGTTTTAAA